GTTCGAGACCAGCATGGCCAACATGGGGAAACCCCATCTCTATAAAAATACAAAAATTAGCTGGGTGTGGTGAAATACTCCTGTTGTCCCAACTACTTGAGAGGCTGAGGTAGAAGAATCTCTTGAACCCAGGCGACAGAGGTTGCAGTGAGCAGAGATTGTGCCATTGCACTCCAGCCTGGGGTAAGAGTGAGTCTCCGTCTCAAAAAAAAAAAAAGCTTATAAAGTACTTGGAATGCTGCAGTGCCTCCTAGCTGGTGTTCTTTTTACAGGCAGCCCACTCCAAACTGTGCTCTGTGCATTAGCTAGGCTAGAGGAGACTTTTGTTATTATTTTTGAGATGGAGTTTGGCTCTTGTCGCCCAGGCTGTGTGCAATGGTGAGATCTCTGCTCACTACAATCTCTGCCTCCCGAGTTCAAGCAATTCTCCTGCCTCAGCCTCTTGAGTAGCTGGGATTATAGATGCCTGCCACCACCCCCAGCTATTTTTTGTATTTTTAGTAGATAATGGGGTTTCACCATGTTGGCATGCTGGTCTCGAACTCCTGACCTCAAGTGATCCACCCTCCTTGGCCTCCCAAAGTGCTGGGACTACAGGTGTGAACCACTGTGCTGGGCTGAGGCTTTTTCTTCTGAGATGAAGTGTCGCTCTGTCGCCCAGGCTGGAGTACAGTGTCACGATCTTGGCTCAATGCAACCGCCGCCTCCTGGGTTCAAGAGATTCTCCTGCCTCAACCTCCTGAGTAGCTGGGATTACAGGCACGAGCCACCATATCCAGCTAATTTTTTTTAACTTTTAGTAGAGAAGGGGTTTCACCATGTTGGTCAGGCTTGTCTCGAACTCCTGACCTCATGATCTGCCCGCCTCGGCCTCCCAAAGTGCTGGGATTACAGGTGTGAGCCACCACGCCTGGCCGAGACTTTTAATTAACTAGTTATTTTTAAAGAGAGGGTCTCACTCTGTTGCCCAGGCTGGAGTGTAGTGGCATGATCATAGCTCACTGCAGCCTCAAACTCCTGGACTCAAGGGATCCATCTTCCTCAGACTCCTGAGTTAACTGGGACTACACACACACACCACACTTGGCTAATTTTTTTAAAGAGAGGGTCTCCCTATGTTACCCAGGCTGGTCTTGAACTCCTGGCCTCAAGGGATCCTCCCATCTTGGCCTCCTAGATGGGACTTTTAAAATCAGGCCACGGCCTATTGAAAACTCTTAAAAGTCCCCATGCCTGGCTGGGCATAGTGGCTCACGCTTGTAATGCCAGCACTTTGGGTGGTCAAGGTGGCTGGAACATTTGTGGTCGGGAGTTTGAGACTAGCCTGGCCAACATAATGAAACTGTCTCTACTAAAAATACAAAAAATAGCTGGGTGTTGTGGCACATGCCTGTAATTCCAGCTACTTGGGGAGGCTGAGGTAGGAGATCGCTTGAACCAAGCAAGTGGAGGCTGCAGTGAGCCCAGATCATGCCACTGCACTCCAGCCTGGGTGAGACAGCCAGACTCTGTCTCAAAAAAAAAAAAAAAAAAAAAAGTTCCCATAGCATCTAGACTAAAGCCCAAAGGGGTACAGGAAAAGCACTTGAAGTGAAAGAGGAGAGAACATGGATGGGGATTTGAAATTAGATGCTGAAATAATGTAGAATACAGCCAAGCATACTTGAATCCATCCTTCTCTTCTGGCCTCTCCACAGGGTCACCCTAGGTTAGACCTCACTTGCCCCTGGAGCTGGTCTCCCATCTCTTGTGAACCACTGTGCTGGGTGGAGACTTTTTTTTCATTGAAGAAATTTTCAGAAGATATACAAAATCAGAGTGACTAGAATCGTGCACCCAGCTTCAACAATGCTCAGATCGTCAGCTCATGGCCAGTCCAGTTTTGGTCACTCCTCAATTCATTGGAATTTTTTTTTTTTGATGGGGTTTCGCTCTTGCTGCCCAGGCTGGAGTGCAGTGGCGCGATCTCAGCTCAGCACAACCTTCGCCTCCTGGGTTCGATTCTCCTGCCTCAGCCTCCGGAGTCGCCAGAACTACAGGCATGTGCCACCAAGTCCAGCTAATTCTGTATTTTTAGTAGAATCTGGGTTTCTCCACGTTGGTCAGGCTAGTGTCTAGCTCCTGACCTCAGGTGATCTGCCCGCCTCGACCTCCCAAAGTGCTGGGGATTACAGGCATGAACCACCATGCCCAGCCCTCACTGGAATTTTTAATTCCTCCTCCAGAGACTTTTTTCTTTTATGTTGAAAAATTTCAGTCTCAGGGACAGGAAAATATGACTTTTCTAACTACTTAGTTTGTTAGTGGTTGCTACCTATCAAGGCTGCAGTGAGCTATGATCATGCCACTGCACCTCAGCCTAGGCAACAGAGTAAAACCGTCTCACACAAAAAAAGGGGGGCTAATTTTTCAATGGCATGTTGAAATAAACTATCAGCCATATTCCGGAGTTCTCCAGGGCTCTGCTGATGGGAGAATTATAAATGCAGATGTGAATGTATCCAACTTCCAAGGAACACAAGTCACTAACGCAAACATTTTTCTATTTATTTTTCTATTTATTTCACAGATGATGAAACTGAGCCCAGAGAGGCAAACTTACCTAGGTTCCCATACCCGCTAAGTAGAGTCGGCATTCAAACCCACATGATATCAAGCAAAAAGTTGTCCTTCATATGAGTGGGCAAAAGGCACATTAAAACCAAAAGGTCACTTCTGCCAAAGGAAGTATAGATAACCCAACACTGGCTAAAATGCAAGGGGACAGGTACTCTTACTTTCTGATGGCGGAACCCATCAGTATTTTATAGAGGAATTCCTTTGACCCAGCTAGCTCATCTGCAAAATTTTGTCACAGAGATACTTAAATATTAGGCTAGGTGCAGTGGCTCACACCTGCAATCCTAGCACTTTGGGAGGCCATGGTGGGTGGATCACAAGGTAAGGTGTTCAAGACTAGCCCGGGCAACATGGTGAAACCCCATCTCTACTAAAAAGTATAAAAATTAGCTAGGCATGGTGGTGCGTGCCTGTAGTCCCAGCTACTGGGGAAGCTAGGGCAGGAGAATTGCTTGAACCTGGGAAGCGGAGGTTGCAGTGAGCTGAGATCATGCCACTGCACTAGTCTGGGTGACAGAGCAAGACTCCATCTAGAGAAGGAAAAAAAGACTGGACAGTGTCTCATGCCTATAATACCAGCACTTGGGGAGGCCAAGACAGGTGGATCAATTAAGGTCAGGAATTTGAGACTAGCCTGGCCAACAAGGTGAAACTCTGTCTCTACCAAAAATTAAAAAAATAAGTAAATTAGCCGAATGTAGTGGCGCCCATGTGTAGTTCCAGGAAGAATTGCTTGAACCTGGGTAGTGGAGGTTGCAGTTAGCCGGGATGGCACCACAGCACTCCAGCCTGGGCAACAGAGACCCCCATCTCAAAAAATAAACAAATAAAAAATCACTGCTGCATTACTAGTAAAAATAAAAAAAAAACCTGGAAACTCTATCAAGGCTCATCGGTATAAGGAAATACTATTCTGTCATAAGATTTCACCATATTTGAAACCCTGTATCTAAGAAAAATACAAAAATTAGCTGGGCTTATTAATGGTGGGCGCCTGTAACACCAGCCACTTGGGACACTAAGGCATAAGAGTTGCTTGAACCTGGGAGGCAGAGGTTGCAGTGAGCCAAGATCGTGCCACTGTACTCCAGCCTGAGCAACAGACTGAGACTCATCTTAACAACAAAAAGATGTCACCATATTAATTCGAATGTGTAAAAGACCTGTATAGGCTGGGCATGGTAGCTCACGCCTATAATCCTAGCACTTTGGGAGGCCGAGGTGGGCAGATAACCTGAGGTCAGAAGTTTGAGACCAGCCACGCCAACATGGTGGAACCCCGTTTCTCTACTAAAAATAAAATTAGCCGGCGTGGTGGAACGCACCTGTAATAATCTCAGCTACTCAGGAGGCTGAGGCAGGAGAATCACTTGAACCCAGGAGGCGGAGGTTGCAGTGAGCTGAGATTATGCCATTGCACTCCAGCTTGGGCAACAAGAGCGAAACTCCATTAAAAAAAAAAAAAAAAAAAAAAGACCTGTATATACTATAAGCTGTTGTATGGCTTGATTTCTGCTGTTTTAATTCTTTTTTAAAGTACTAAATCAGTAAAAAGAAAATGAAGGGCCACTGAAAACATGACTTGTCACGTCACAGGCTACTGTCTACTGAACTTCACAAAGAGCCTGCAGGAAGTAAGACCCCGGATCTCGCCCCATCAAATCCAACAGGTACAACACATGGTCTGACAGCCAGCCTGGGTGCTCAGGCCTGCTCCTGTCTTAAATACTGTCCCCACTAAAACATCACACATCTCAAATATTCCACGGGGAGGCTAGAAGCTGGCCATATGGGGTAAGGTCATCTGAACTATCAAAGCTGACAGCTTTCAAGAAGGGGTAGCAGGTACTATAACACTTAAATAACTTTAAACAAGGGGTTCCTATGGAAGAACCTTTCTAGTCACTTCATTCCAAAACTCCAGAATGTATCTCTGAAGATTCCCATCATCAACATAACTAGATACCTCAGTCATCAATCTAATGAAGTGCCAGGTTATAACATACTATGTAAAGTAAAACGCAATGAGATTAATCTGCTAACATAGTCACCACTACAGGTAGTAGCCAGGCCAAAAATTTAATCATTCTGTTCATAATTTTCTGAAATGGCCCCATTTCAAAATCATCTCTTGGTGTCTTGCACTGGCCTCTGGGTTGATGTTGGCCGTCACTCTCACTATAAAGGAAGTTAGCCCAGTTTCCACTGCTGAATGGCAATCTTCAGGCCCAAAGCCACAATTATTCAAGTTTAATGAGTTCCAGTAGCCCTTAGAAAAAACCACGTACGAAGCCAATTCTTTTTTAAAAGCCTAAACTTCATTTGATTGCATCAAAAAGTCACTCAGATATGATGACCAAAACAAAACTGCAGACAAGCCCCACGGTTTTTCTGTTTTTATTCATTTTATGATTAAGGTGTGTATCACTACTCCAGTTGGGTAAACCACATTGAAGAATCTGACTGCAGGTCTTTAGATTCAGCCAAATGCTTTCCAGTAGGTTTGCTCTATAAAATATTAAACATTATAATACTTCAGCCATGCTCAGAACGCTGCAGTCTAAGGATGAACCTCAACCCACCCATGCCAAGTAAGGGCAACAGGAGCAGAACTAATGAACTATGAATGTCTAAAAGAATCAGAGAATCTGGCTTAAGACGAAGAGAGGTTCTGTTCCCCCAAACTACAGTATTTAGTCTTTAAATCCAGCCTAAACTGTTCAAGAAACTGAAAAAGTCAACTTGTTCTTAAAGTACCACACAGGTATGCAATCTTTCATTCTTTCTTTAGCATCTAAACTAGCCCAGGCAAACACTTCAAAAACCTAGCTGTCAGAAGTTAAGTTTTCCTAAGAGAAATCATCACCCTTCTACAAGAGAGCTTGTTTATTCTGTGCATGGAAGAACAGAAGAGAGCAATGGGACAGAGAAGGGAAAAGTTGCAACTGGGTGGCAAATGCATCAGGTGCATTTGAGAGTAAATGCAATGGAAAAAAGTAACAAATGCTAAGGTTTTGTAAAAGTTTAATGAAGCCATTAAGGCATATAAATTGTGTTCTGGCAGACATTAAGACCTGCTTTTCTCTTACCAAAGAAAATGGCACATGTTTTACCAAAATTTGACAATTCAGAGTAAAGGGTACTGAGAGTAAGCTTCAGAGCACCAACTTAAACAAAATAACAAAAAAACTGTTTTCCAACTTGGAAAGAGGAACGAGAACCAAGGCATAAAGGGGAATTAAGTTTGTGTTCCTCAATCTCAATATCCTTTAGGAATAGGAGTTCTTGGCCACTTGTGAGCAACACATTGTACCACCAAACCCCAATTCCAGAATCTAAATTTACAATGATAGAAAAACAAAGGTAACTCCAAATGCATGTCTTGTATATTCCAAAGGGAAGCTTCAAAGTATTCATAACACAAAGGCTTGTCTGTTTCAGGTAAAATGACAGGTTGCTATAATTCTTCCTGCTATTATAGTCAAACAAAAAATGATCCACTTTTGCAAAAATTTAGAAATACCTCACTTTCATTCCTAGTTTTAGTATGGAATTCACTTTTTAAATAAGGGCTACATCTACAATGAATACAGAACTTCAATTCACACAACACTTCTAACATTCCATTCACATCCCACCCAGTCAATGAATGAGTATTTATGGTTAACTTAGCAGAGTTTCTTCACAGAAAGATATTATTAAATGGCTGAAGAAATTGCAAACTTTAACAAAAGTGCTGTGAGTAATTACTGGAAAAACCCTTACACTGATTTGCAAAGGTCTTTTAAGGATAAAAATAGGAAGTAACTGATACTGGACTACAAGTTTGCAAGGAAACATTTTTCACTGTCCTACTTGATATATAATATAATAATATGATAGAATAAATTACAGTACCTGGCAGGCTGACATCAGTTCTTCATCTAAAAAAAACACTATCATTCAGTTCAGGATATTAAAAATGAAGATGAAACATGCTCTAAAACATTGTAGCTACAAGAGGTCTTATATTTACTCAAAAGAGGAATCTATTGAGAACTTTTATTTAGGTCTACCTAACAGCTTGAGAATCTCCATGCGATTCCATCTTTTCCAGAATGAGATTCCAAACTGAACTTTTTACGAGAGGGATTGGAGGGACAGGGAGAGTTGAGTTTTGCTATTTTAAGTTGCAATCACATTATTAGTAGATAAAAGAGAGCTTTATCATCTTCTGCCCACTCCAGTGGAAACTGCACTAAGCAGGGCCTCCATGAAAAATGTAAAATGATAGACTAGAAAACCTACCTCACTATTCATCTCCCTCTCCCTCTCACTAATACTGAACCAAAAAGGAAGCCCATTCTCAAAGTTCATAACCTCTCTACTTTAGGTCACCTCAAATGCAGTCTACATGTTTACATTTACCATAAGTCAAGTACCCCACATAGGAAGTAGTGTTTTGTCTTAAAACTGAGTGCTTGAGGCCTACAGGGTTAACCTGGGGCAATTTAATAACACTGCTACTTTAGAGCACTGGCACATACAAAGTGAATCCAATAAAGCTCTGTGCACTGATTCAGTATTAAGTATGAACTGCATGACCATCACAGCACCTCTTTACATCACGCAATCACCAGAATTAGAAACTGCTTTGAAAACTAAACAGGGCACAGTCCAATAATTACAGTTGCACACTGTTGCTATTTAGAAACCAGGTGCATGGTACAGTGCAGCTGCAAAAATGGAAGCCAAATCATGTTTTTAGATAATTTTAGGAACCTGGCAACACTGTGGAAGCAAAATACTCAACACAGCAGGAAATGGACCCCCAAAAAAAAAAAAAAAGAAAGCCTTCTATAACCAAATAAACATCTGATATTTCCTTTCCCTTTGAGAATAAATACAGTTAAGGTCACTTTTAGCCTTGGAACGGATATATGTTTGCCTATGATGATCTTGCTAACGACTACACAACATCTGATGTCCTCTGCTAGGATTATAGTTTTAAGAAAGCCATAGTTACAAGAGGCATCTACTGTAAATACCTACAACTTCCTTTTATGGCAACCACTATAGAATTCACTTGTCTTAAACAGTGAACAAGGGAAGATGGCCTCATGTTTCCTTTGCAATTATAGTATATGTTGAGGATCAAGTGGCTTTCAAGCAGCATGGTGGGTGTGAAAATGTTTGCAGTTTAGATCATTCTGTTGCGTTTATGGGTTGGTGAGTCTGTAATGACATCGCCACACTGGGCTGAGGTACGCTTTCTAGTTCCACCATTGTCCAAGTGGAGTGCCATTTCTTCTGATATGAAAGTGTTCAAATCGACATCATGGAGTCCATTTCTCCTTCGACTAGCATTCGATCCACTGCTTACATGTGTAGGAGAGCCTGGGGTACTCGAACGCACGCTTATACTAGCCATTGCACCACTAAGACCTAGGAAGAAGAAAAAAGGTTTTAGAGTTGCTCAATTATTTAACCCTTTCGAACGCAACCCACTTACTTTCCAAGTTGTCACAATGTCAAAGCATGTCTGCCTATTTTCTTTTAAAGAGGGTTACTAGCAAGCAATTAAGATTTTTTCTGGAAAAACACACCATCTGGCCTTGAGATATGTTTTATTGGTAATACTATCAATATCTGCAAGATTGGTAACTACCAATTACTACAAGTTACTATGTGTCAGCCATGGTGCTAGGTGTACAAATAGCTCATGAAATCTCCCATCTATTAGGTAGGTGCTACACAATTTACAGAAAAGACAGGAGGCGTTTGCTTTAAAACAAGACATTTTTGGTTACCCCCAGTTACCATTCCAGCAGACCCCTCTGACGAGTGTGTGTGTCTGTGATGTATTCAAGAGAGCAAGAAATCACTTCCAGGCCTAGGTGGGCTTATTCCAACATCCCCTTTAGATAAGGCGACCATGTAATTTATCATCCAAAACAGTATGACCACTGAGCCCAAAAAGAGTCACTGTTAAAATGTCTACTGGGACATCAGGTACAAAGTCAATCTGCCCTGGACAAACCGGGCTACGTGATCCCTCAAGTATAGAATGTAGATATCCTTCAGGACAGCCTCAATCATGATCCTCTCTAATCCTTTAGAGAAGTGGGGAGAAGAGGGGGTTGTAAAGAATCATGCTGCTTTGTTTTTAACATTAAGAGTTACTGAATCCAGGGCTGGGCACAGTGGCTCATGCCTGTAATCCCGGTACTTTGGGAGGCCAAGGCAGGCAGATCACTTGAGGTTAGGAGTTTGTAAACAGCCTGGCCAACATGGTAAAACCCTGTATTTACTAAAAAAAAAAAAAAAAAAATACAAAAATTAGCTGGGTGTGGTGGCAGGTGCCTGTAAATCTCAATTACCCGGGAAGCTGAGGCAGGAGAATTGCTTGAAGCCAGGAAGAGGAGGTTGCAATGAGCTGAGACCATACCACTGCACTCCAGCCTGAGTGACAAGAGCAAAACGCTGTCTCAAATAAATTTTTTTAAAAAGTTACGGAATCCAGAATATACCTAGCACTCATGGATACTCAGTCATTCCTTTCCTTAAACTCTTAAATGGTTAAAGAGCCAAACTTACATTCCACCCCTAAATGTTCAGAATAAACCTGTGAAAGGTATGAGTCAGGCCAGGAAACATAAACCACAGTGTTGCATTTTTAAAAACCTACCATCATTGGCAGTGATCTTAGGCCTTAGGAATTTTCCCTTGCACTATTCTTGCCTCACGTAGAGATTTGTTATTGCTTGACTACATTTATAACACAGTTTAGTATAATCAATTAATTTTCAAAGACTAGAACCTGTATCTTCAAGTAAGCTTACCGGTTTCATTTGACAAGGGCCCATTCTTTCTAATCATAAACTCTGTCAATATGTAGTTTAAAAAAGATTCTCTGCTTCCTATCACATGAAATCTATTAAATTCCCCTTGACGTTTTTCTCCCTCCACCAAATATATCAAATGCATAGCCTCTACTATTGTCCCATGTGCTGGCCATGTCCTCCGGGCCACATCCCCCTTCTGAGGTGCTCTCAACTCCGCACTCTAGGTGCCCCCATTCCTTTCTGCACTAATCCAACCAATTCCCTGGCTGCTCACCCTGAAGAAGATGCATCCTCCCTTCCCTCCGGTGGTCAGAGGAAATCAAACCGTGTCCCTCTTTAGCCTCTAAACCTTTCAAAGGCTAGCATCTACTAAAAAATAAAAGCATTAATGTGGGAGTACTTGCTACATCAGGTACTGTATGTCAATTACTCCTATGACATCTGTAACATCTCCACTCTGCAGGTGAAAATCCAAGTTTAAAGGTTAAGTAATTCATCCAAGGTCAACAGGCAGTAAACAAGAGCTGAGACTCCCACTCAAGTATAATCCATATTCCTATTCAGTTACTCTGATTCCCAGGTCTAGAGTATTTTAGCAAAAAAGGTGGCTTCAAGTTGATCCCAGGACCAGCCTGCCTCTTAGGCCTCATCTCTCTGAACAGTTTCTCTCCCTTCCCTTCCCTTCCTGCCCTCTTTACCCTTAGACCATATCCGCACTACCAACATCATGCAATTTGCAGCTCTCTGAAATAGCGAGGCCTGCAACGGTCTCTTCCAACGTTCACGCCGAGTGAGCCTTCCTGCTCCCCAGCACACCTCCCCTCTGAGGCTCTTTTCCTAGTTCTCCCACCTCTCCATTTTCCTGCTGGCTCCTCTTCCCTCCTCCTTGAAATTGAGACTCTCTGCTCCTTCCTATTCACCAGCCTGCCAGTTCCCTCCCACATTGCCTTCGTGGGGTTCCCTTCTGCCCCTGAAAGGCTGTTGTCACCCTGGGTGATACCCTCCACTCCCACCTTACCCACACACATTAGTGTTTCCCAAAACTGGACTAATGATGAGCTCAAGGGTCTTCCCAGATTTCTTACTGCCTATTGGTTATCTCAAACTCAACACCATCAAAAAGGAACTTCACTTCCTCTTCCCCAACCAGCACAAGCTTATTTTTTAAAACAAAACACCATCTTAAGCTATTTTTCTATAGCATGGTATAATCAACCATTTCTTCCTACAGAAAGTATCTTTTCATTTCTATACAATGACCTTAACACAGTGCCTGACATATCATAACATTCACTGAATTCTGAAAAATAATAATACTTCAAAGTCCTACACCCCCTCGTTGAAATCCGCGGCTCGGCTGTTGATGTCTATTCACCTCTCCAATACCAGGAAATAAACCCAGGTGGTTCTTTCCGCTTACATCACTGCCATCGAGTTTAAAACTCAATTATCCCCATTGTTGGCTTTTTTTGAGGTTCTACAGCCAAGACTAAAGTTAAGGAGAGAGCTATGCCTTCTTTTATCCTCGTGTCTCAGCCTGTAACATATTACTACAAGGTGCCCATGTTCTTCAAAGATAACGTTTCATAATTGTTTCATAATGCAAAAAGTCCCAAGGTCATATGGCAAAATACAGGCACATTCTGCAATAAACCGGCCTACTTCAATAATTAAAATCAAGATACCCCTTATCATTTCAAAAGACAAGAATTCAACGAACCCCACCCAATGCCCTTGTTAACAGAGGACTCCAATAGCAGCCTGTTTAATATCTAACAACAAATATGAAAGGCTCAAAACACTGTATCAGAAGTGGACTAGTCATTTCAAGCAAATGTTCCTGATTGTTTCAATTGCCATTCTCCATGAAAAAGAAGATGCATTAAACATCCATTTGGTAAATCTGAACTCCAGCAGCTTCTGGGAAAACTGTTTTTTCTACTGGGTGTATGACCTGGGTGTTTAGCTTGATAATTGTAATGTGCAATATGATCTATGACTGACTTTCATTGCAGTGAAAATATTTTCAAAGTTGGCCTACTTAATCTTCCCCAAAAAGACTTCACAAGGGTCAAAAATAATTAAGATTAACAACCAAAAAATGTGCATTTTGACAGCCCAAATTTTATTTTACAAACCAATAACAGCTACTAGAAGATGCTTTAGGAAACCTTAGCTAAGCCATATAAACAATCAGGCCTATACAAGTACAGAAAATCTAAACATGCTTCAGAACTAAAAAACAAACAAACAAAAAAAACAAAAAGAACAAAAACCAAGTTGTACGTCCTGAGGGCATACAACTTAATTTCCTCCAAAAACACTTTTTCAAAAGGGCTACGGGAGTATCAATTCACAAAAAAAGAACAAGTAGCATGATTAGACAGAGAAGTCTCAATTGCTTAACACAAGATAAACTCAACAGTTATATTCTGTATCCATTTTAAATTAGTCCAGGGGTGGAAAAGATTAGGATGGTTTCATACTTTGAATAGGAAACTCCCACTGGAGCTAAAAGAAATTTACAGACCAGGTTATAGGAATCCAAGTTACATGTTAAGTTGTTAAAAGTAGCACATAACTATTATTGTCATACCAAGTTCATGCTTAAGCAACAAGAAAATCCTGTTTGCAGCATTAATTACATGTAATTCAGTTTCCAGGCACATAGTTAGAGGTCACACGCAGGCAGAGAAAGAAGAAATGCCAGCCCAGTCATCTCACTGCTGCAGTCCAGCAGCCAGTGGCCCAGGACATCATCTACACTGCCTACCTGCTTCCCAACCGCTTAAAAGCCCCATGAGGGAAGGCAAGGCAGCCAGCCCTGGAGGTGAGAAGGCATCGTTGGTCCACCTTTGCAGATCTGTTCCACCAGTGTTATCTCCCAAAGAAAATGGTATTTGAAATCGCAACTTAAACAAAGTGGGTAATATCCTGACTGGAGGCCCTAAGAAACTGGCATTCTTGCGTTGAAAATGAATTGCACTATTCAGATGCACACACAGCACTCCTTTTGCACAAAGTTGTGTTCTGAGGTGCCAGGACATAAAAGTACTTGCAGTGTCAATGTCGTGTTTAAGATGTACCAGGGGAATTCAAACATTTAAAAAGGAATTCTATTAGGAAGAGTTGGTAATTTGAAGTAGATACCACTCCCCACCCCAATCTGTAAATTATAATACTGAATTTTTATTGAAATAAAGCACACTAAATCAAACCAATTACAAAGATACATGGGTCACACCAAGAAAACATTTTCAGTTATGCTGACAGCCCCAAATGTTTTCCACATTTTTCAAAGACAGTTTTTAATGTCATGGGAAAATTGCTCACGACGTTAAAATGAAAAAAGCAAAATACAGTATCATATATGCAGTATCTCAACTATGAAATAATTTTAATATTTATACATTGAAAAAAAGACTAGAAGAAAATGCACCAAACAGTGAACTGCAGTTTACCGCTATATAGTGGAATAACAAGATACTCATTTTTTAATTTTTGAAAACTTTCAAATTTTCCAAGAAATTATTTATAAATCATGAAATCAGCGAGAAAATTAAATTGAATATCCAAACTGCTTAAACAAGCACTAGGCTG